ACTTGGGTGGCAGGAAGAAACAACAAAATCCAAGTTATGGAAACCTATTACAAGTTGTAATGAGTTTTTACCTGTCATTGTGGTATAGATATATATTTGGGGTTTTTTTAATGCTTGAACACTTTCCAGGTTTCTCATGCACTCACACACCTGCACAGTTCCCTCGCTGGGGGTTTCAGCAGCTCTTCCCAAGCTCATGGTCACAAACCTGGCAACTCAAGCCAAGCATGGAAATGGGCGGCTAGGAGAAAGTTAATGCCATTCACCTGGTAATGGCTGTATCTTCTCTTTTACAGCAGATGACAACTAAATGTTTTTATTTGTTGGTATTAATCTTGCTGATGATTAGCCTGTCCTGTTCTGGTTTTGTACGATATAATTCTTTGAAATCCCTGTTGCATTATACACACAAACACAGCAGCATACTGCAAACAGCTAGAGAGCATGGAGCCACCCCCGCCTGGCAGAGTGTCCCAGGCAAGACAACACCATTGCCCTGATCTTGGTGACATTGGTGTCCAGGGGCCCGGGTTAAGAGTGGAAAGCTCATGCACCAACACGCAGACTCCCATCTCCTGAGTTCAGCTGTAATACTGGGTTTGCGCTCTAGAATTTTCAAAACCTGTTACGTTGGGATGGGGAAGAGAAGGAAGCCAGCAGTTTTGATGACGCAAAATGAAAGTAAATACACAAAACCAAGATTTGAGTTGTAGCTTAAAAAAAAAAAAAAAAAAAAGGATTATAGCCCCAGCTGGTAATAACCCAAAGACGACCACTGTTGCAACAGGGTCTTTGCAAACACCAGACACACGCACTCGTACAGCTGGAAGCTTTCCCCGTGGCTGCTTCTCTGCAAGTCCTGTGCAGGGAGGGGAGAGGGGGAGACCGAGTACAAGGTGTTAATCTCTGCCCCCCCTTCACCTATCAAAACGTTTTAAAGCAACCACAGAGACAGCCCGGCAGTCTATAGCAACCGGCCCAACAGCGCAGGTGAGCTGAAGCCCGAAATGCCGACGGAGGCGGCTGTCCCAGCGCCCTGCCAGCCCAGCACGTCCCACCCACGGCTTCTTTGCCCTGTGCCGCAGAGCACCTTCTTGGGGACACCTTCCCAGTGGGAATAACTGGGTTCCCTCCCTGCTTTCCCTCCTGACCAGTCCATTGCACTGCCTTGCAGGTCGTTTCTCACTGGGTTTTTAATATATCAGGTTTAAGACAGCAGCTTCTTTGCCTGCATGGACAGAGGCAGCACAAATCGTGTGTCCAGGTTTCCCTCAGCGTGTTGGGCTCCACGATCCTCCTGCCTGGCAGCTCTGGTGCAGGCAGGAGCTCCGATGGCCACGCAAAGTGGGCTGCGGGCACCAACCTGCACAATACCATGCACATCGGCTACCAAACAAGGTCCCGATGACCTGTCCTGCTGCAGTGTAGTAGGACCAGGTTTTCCCTGCGGGAGAGGTTTCCAGTGTCCGTCAGTCCGTGGGGACACCATGGTCTCATGCACTCAGTCCTTCCCACTCCAAGAGCGATCAGAAATCCAGCGCGGGCACCCGGACACGCAGGTCAGTGCCTGCGAGAGGGGGAAGCGGGAGATGTGGACACGAGCAGGGGGAAACCCAATGTAGCAGCTGAGCCCAAACCAGCCACATCATGCAGCCCCCAGGCAAAACCGGTGGAGGACCATCAGTCGTCTGCAAAGTCAGTGCAACTGTTCCCATACAGGGTGACAAAACACAGCGGCTGCTGGAAGGTTTTGGGAGCACTGCACAAGCCTCATTCTTCGTGCCAACCACCAGACTCCCACCAGGACTTAGGGGAAACCCCTCAGCACCAGTCATGGCATCACTGCCTAGGGCAGATTTTTGCATCTTTCTCTGAAGCAGCTGGTGCTGCCAGATAGAGAGGGCACATACTGATACGGTTGGGGATCTGTATGTGAAGCCCGAAACAAAGCCTTGCCTCCACTGCTAGCTCCAGGAAAGATTTCACCAATACAATAACAAAGGAGCACTATTTTTCCCCTTTCTCTACTCCTGAAAAGTTAGGATAGACTGGCGAGAAGCTGCAGCTGAGTGGCAGGAGGAATACAGGCTGGGCATAGGCACTTCACCCTTTCCAGCACTGGTTCTTCAGCCGGCAGTGTCACTGGGCATACAGCAGCATAAGAACACTGCGGACCTACCAGCACATCTGCCATCAGCTTGCTTCCCAAGTGCTCTGGAGACAGCATACACAGCATATCCCTCTGGTTTCAAGCCTCTTGACTCTTCTATAGCTGCCTGCAAACCTTTGCTGTCCCATCTCCTCTCTCCTTTCAACTCCCCCGCCATCTGCAGAAGCACGAATACAAATCACTTACACAGCCACTTACTTGCACTCCCTTTCGTATGAGCTCCGCAGCCTTTTTTCTTCCTTGGAGCTCTGAGGTCTAAACCTTGTGCTCTGACTAGAGACAGCAAATCCAGTAGCAAATATTCTTTGAAAGCAAGAAGGAACTAGAGCTCCTTTCCCAATAGCTTGATGAAATTCTCCTCCAGCATCTCAAACAGCGCTTGCTTGTTGCAGAGTGACCAACAAAGCTCGTTTGCACCATTTCTGTGGGCTAGGAATTGTCTCTGAGCGTAACATGGCACCGGCAGCAGAGAAGGGTTCCCAGCCACCCAGCTCGGTGGATGAGCATGGAAGTACATCACAGATTTTTACGTAACTGATGGCTGTGCTTGCTCAGACTTGCTATACATGGGAGTTTTCTCCATTCGTTCAATGAGTGGGGGAATGTTTTAACAGCATCTGAGAAAATCGGACTAGAGGCACCTCAGAGCTGCAGAAGTTGCAGGTGTTGGTCACGCAAGCACACGGGAACTGTTGTTCTTGTGTAGGCACAAGTGCACGTGCCCTTAGAGATAGAGATGCAAAAATTCTTTCCTGCTAATATGCATGTGAAGACCCTGATGCCACCCACCACTCTTGCACACATCTTCCCGAACACAGCTATAGCTTTGTTTCAAATAAGTGGTCTTGGTAACCCTTCCCTACCCGACAAAACCATGTTGTCTGTAACTCTGAAGTAGCCAATGGCTTTGGGAAGGAATCAGACTAACAGATTATTCAAATTTTGTGAAGAAGGGGAAAGCTGAACTGGGATCCTGCTTGCACTGCAGAGCAAGGGGTAGAGGGCAGTGAGGTGACCATCAGCCTGAGGAACTGCTGTTAACAAGGGGCAAATATCAAGGCCCTTTTTGTGCCATATTGTTTGCTTTCTGCAGGATATGTTATGTTTGTCTTGCTGGCTACTTCTGGGATATGTATGAAAGAACATTTTTCATGCTCAACAAGTTAATTATTAGCCATGGACAAGTGGCCACTGAGCAATTAGAAATCACTCTACAAGGAAGAAAGCACAACAGAACACCTTTCTTCTTAACAAGGAAATAAAAGCCTTTTTCTTCTATCGGGAATTACCCTTAATAAAGTTGTGTCACCTGACACCCTGAAATCAAGTTCCAATGAATGTTTATAAAGACTTTTCTTGGCACCTATCATCCTCTCTAGAACTTGGGCAGGTAGACCAACAGCCATGCTCGGGAAATGCACATTCCCACCGCTGCACCATGCAGTGTCCAACAGCACATTCAGTTCAGGCCAAAGAAAACAGTTTAGTGAAATAAGAACCTTGGCTTCTTCTGAGCCATCACTCAGTCCAAAACAAGGGGAAGGTCAGAAATACTCATCCTGAAGACTACAGACACATTTCAAGAGAGACACAGTTTGGTTTGACATTCCCCAATAGTCATCACTGAGTCCTGGCCAAGGGTTAATTTTGGTGCAGTAGATTTGGGTGGATATAGAGGTGGGACAGTGCTTTATGTGGCTTAAGTCTGATTCTTAGAGGGGTGGGGGTGAGGCGTAAATCCCTGCATCTCACTAACTTTATCAGCAGCTGAGGAAAGAAAAAAAGCAGAGGTGAAAATATTACCCTTTTTTTCTTTTGCATGTCCTTGAAGAGACCAGGGAAACAAAGAGCAGTATCTAAATACAGGCTTCTGACAGGAGCTCTGGTCTGTGAGATAAGGAAGAAATTTTTACAATGAGGGTAGTAAGACACTGGAACAGGTTGCCCAGAGAAGTTGTAGATGCCCCATTCCTGGGAGTGTTCAAGGTCAGGTTGAATGCGGCTTTGAGCAACCCGGTCTAGTGGAAGGTGTCCCTGCCCATGGCAGGGGGGGGGAACGAGATGATCTTCAGAGGTCCTTTCCAAACCAAACCATTCTGTGATTCCGTGAGAGCAGGTTGTCCTAAGGAGTGGTTTTGGCACTCAGGCTCACAAGTGAACAAGCCTTCCTTTCACAGCATGAACAACATTGAAAGAAAATATGACCCCAGCTATGAAACTATTAGAAGCAGCATTATCTGCTAGCAAGGGTCAAGTGAGCAGCTGAGCTCCGGGTTGCCACCTGACTCTCATGCCTGCCAGGGCTCAACGGCTTTTGGACCATTTTTGAACTTCATCCTTGTGATGGGCTGTTCTGATTTACAAGTGTAAAAAAGATAGCATTTCTGATTTTGAATCAAGTCTCTTCCAGTTTGGCCAAAATCCCTTTTTATGCCGTGCACACCATCACTGTTGCCTGCCCAGGGGACACTGTCCCTGGGGCACTCTGCTCCGACAGACACACTGGTGGCTTGCAGGCATTGCATTAACCAAGTCTGCTGTAAGAACAACTCCCTTCATTCTATAGAAGGGAAGACTGAGGTGTTGGGAAGAGACCTACGGGCAGCCATGATGCCATGCAGCAGCACAGGGAAGAGCAAAGTTATCTCCCTCTTTCCCATTCAATTGCTTGACAGATGCGATTAAATGCTCAATTTCTCTCTAGCTCAAGTAGCCACAACCCTCATATCCTCTAGGCACAAGGATTATTAGATTACTTGATCAGTTAACTTAATTTTGCAAGTCTGATTATTCACCAACTTCTGTGCCTTTTCCAGGGAATGCGAGAAAAATGACTTTACTAGCATTCACCTTCCTGCTCGCCTTCCTCCCAACTGAATCTGCAAGCAGCAAATACCTCCCCAAGGCAGCAAGTAAGTGTAACCTGTCTGGGGCACCGGTCTTGTGGGTGGCCTAAGGCCAGAGGTGGCATTACTAGGAGGGGAATGTCTCTACCGTGTCGGTGCCCATCATTGCCATGGGACTGTTCAGACCACAAGATGCTGCACAGCCCTGGGGCTGTTCTTGCCCCGGTACACGTGCCCTGTTCCGCAGCCCCATCGGGTTGTGTAGAACAGCTGACATTTACGGCCAACATGTTTTCCTCTTGCAGTCTCAAGCCCTGTGTTCGGACCACGGCAGGTATATGGTCTGCTCAACGGGTCAGTTACCGTGAAATGCTTCTACCCTCCCACCAGCGTGAACAGACACGACAGAAAGTATTGGTGCAGGGAATCGGCCACGGGCTGCATGACCGTTGTCTCCACCAGCGGCTACACTGCTCCAGGCTACAAAGGCAGAGCCTCCATCACTGATGACCCACAGGCAGAAAGCTTCCAGATTCACATCTCTGAGCTGACAATGGCAGATGCAGGCACCTACCAGTGCGGTGTTGGTATCAATAGCAGAGGGCTCTGCCACAAAGTCAGTCTGGATGTTTCTAAAGGTAATTACAGTCTTGGGGCTCCTTGAAGTATTATTTTCTTTTACTCCCCCCCTCCCGCACACTCTTTTTAATGAGGCTCCACGGATAGTCTGTCCAGTGTCTAAGAGCTCAAGATGCTTCATGCTTTCAGGAAACAGCAGTTTTCATTTTCCCCTGTGCTCTAACAGAATGACTTTATTTTTTGACCAAAAATCTGTCATAAAAATCAGACTAAATGAATGTCATGTTAAGGTCACAAACATTGCTTAGAAGCTGCTGACCTCTCTCAGCTGCTAAACTTTAGGGAGATGCAGTCAGAGGGCAGAACTGCCCATCACTCCCATGTACCCTCCAACCCAGGGCTAAGGCTGTGCGAGCCAAGCCTGTGCACAAGTCCACGAGAGCACGGTGTGCAGGATGGCACCACACTGCTGGGCAAGGCCCGGGGTGCAGAGCACGGTGCAAACTCCCGGCAGCACAGCCCCTGGCAAGAAGGCTCTGGGAGAAACCCCGCTGTAGAGCAGGCAGTGATACAGCATAGAGACCTCAGTCCTGAAACTGAGGCTAAAAAAGGCTAAAAAAAAGCCTTCAGAGGTATAGGGGAGATGCACACAGTTTCTGACACAGCAGGCGGTACACACTGACCGGTGTCTGTATGCGCAGGTCCGCATGTGCCCGAGGGAGCTGAGCTCTTCTACGTGAAGCTGCACAGCACTTTGACCATGTCCTGCAGCTTTGGGAAGGAGTATGAGAGCTGGAGGAAATTCTTGTGCAAGATGGAGAAAAAAGGCTGCCGTAACATCATCGATAGTTATGGGAATGTTGATAAAGATTACACGGGGAGAGCTCTGCTAAGCAATGAGGATCTTCCAGGCTCATTCAGCATTGTGATAACTCAGTTGGGCTGGGAAGACTCTGGCTTGTACCTGTGCGGGGTTGGCGTCTATGGGGAGAAAGGAGAAACAAAGGAACTGGATGTGCATGTCTATGAAGGTAAGCTCTTCCCACGTTTTTTCCCTTCATCTCTGCTTCTCTTTAGAGGCATCGCTAGCAGTCTTACTTTATTTAACAAAAAACTTTAATTTCCCTTTGGAGAGTGCTGTTATCCTATCCTCTCATCTAGATACTTCTTTCTATTCATTTAACTACCTGTAATGTACTAGGCCATCACTAACAAAGCTTGTATCAAGATTTAAGTTCCCCAGCAGTGGCTAGCTATCTTCCCCAGTCTGGCTAGCCCAAAACTCCAGAAGGCAAATTCTGCCTACCAGCTAGAGACAAGCAAACTGTCTCTTCAAGTCTTAATTCCTTAAATCTCAAAATGACAGATGTAGAAAGGAGAAGACCTGCCCTTCCCCTAGCAAAGGGAGCAAAACTTTTAAACGTTGGTACACAAAGACAACCACCACCCAGTGAATTTGGGAAAAAGAAAGGCCTGACAGACCCCTTGGGGTCAATTCCTAACAGTGCCAGGACAGTCTCCTACCATCTGCACCCCTGAGCTTCGCCTAGCCTTGCTTTAGCCAAAACAGCTTTGTTTGATCTGGTATTTATTCTCTTGGGAGCATGCCACATGGGCAAAAGTTAGACATGTATAGCTGTTCATTTCATCTTTATCTCCAGAGTCACATGTTCCTCAAGGAAAGCCCACAATAATTGGAGTAAAAGAAAGTTCGGTAACTTTTGAATGCCGCTACGACTCTCTGAAGAATTCCTCAAAGTACTGGTGCAAGTGGAGAAAGAACGGGTGTGCTCGGATCATAGATAACTCCGGGTATGTGTCATCCTTGTATGAAGGAAGAGTGGCCATGTTCAACAGCCCAGATAACAAGACGATCATCATCATCCTGAACCAGCTGAAGGACAGTGACAAAGGCTATTACTGGTGCATGACGGATGAGGAGAAGGAGCAGCAATCATCAACTGAGCTGGAGATCGTAGATGGTACGAGCCTGGGCATTGGCAGTTCTCTGCCTGCTCAGTAGGTACAAAACAATCTCCTAAGTACTGCAACGGAGCAGATCTGGCTTTTGGGGAAGAGTTGTGAGGTCCAGCTCTGAACTTCTCTCTCATAAGGCAAAACATTGTGCCAATCCCCCCACACCCCAGTAGCTTTAAAATGGAAACAGTTTATGGAAAACAGTTCCTTTAAAATGGAAAGGTTTCAGTTTTATGGGAAGGTGTTCACAAAAGATTCTCATGCATGTATTTCTTTAGCCTTGAAAAAAAAACCCCTCAGCTTTCACCCAGAGATGCATATACAGCATCCTTAACATTAATTTAGCAACTCAAGCAGTACTTTGTTCTCTCAAAGAGGCATCTCCTGCTTCACCATTTCTAGCAGCACCACCACCTGTTGACTACCGTTCCCCCCACCGAAACCACTAACATCAGCCTTGATCTTCTGTTTGCGCTTGCAGGACAGCCCGGACTGAAGGGAAAGAAGGACGTGGAGGTGCAAGCGGGTTCGCGGGTCGATTTAACTTGCTCTTATCCATGCAAGTACTACTCGTACCAGAAGTACTGGTGCAAGTGGAGCGGCATCAGCTGCACTCCCATGCCTGCTTCTGACCAAAGGCAGCCGGGGCCAGACGTTACCTGTGACACTGACAACAAGACGGTCATCCTCAGCTTTGACTCGGTGACAAAGTCAGACGAAGGGTGGTACTGGTGTGGAGTGAAGCGCAACGGCCTTTTTGGGGAAACCATGGCAGTGCAGCTGCGGGTGACTGAAGGTGAGCTCCAAGGCAAAGGCAGGCAGAGGCTTTCCTGCTTGTCAGGGCTGCCTTCTGCTGAGAAAAAAGTCCTCTCCATAGCCACTAGGTCGCAGCACCTCAAAACACAAGGGCTCTCATCCAGGCAGCCTCCCGGACTAGCTGCTAAGATCACCCTGATTTTGCACAACTTGTCATACGTGTTTTCATCCACTCTGCTTTTTGCTTCCCAGCCATAAAAAAACCCACCGGTCTAAAAATCGCTTCCTTCCACACCATTTTTACTTTTTAACCCTGTCCTTACTAATTATTGCTATTACATTTTGTAGCATCATTTAGTTTAAGCAACATCTGACACCTGTCAGGTGAAGGACTGCATGTAGTTCAGGGGTGCATCTTGCTCCAGGGAGCTTATCTTAACAAACAGGAAAACAGTAGGGAGCAGGAAAGGAAGGGCTATCACCAACAGCAAGGGACTTAGTCTCAGTTTCGGTGCAGTATTTTGGAATTAAGATGTTTTTCTCAGGGAAGAATATTGTTAGAAACAGAGAAAAAGCATAGCGCTAGATATCCCACATGCAACCGTCCTAAGTGGATGATGGCCAAAGTGAAAAGAAAGAGAAACAGGCTCATTTCATTGCCTTTGGTGGACATAGAGCTAGAAATAAAAGTAAACCAAGTATTCAAAATCTGTTCTGGATATACTAGAGGCAGAACTTAGAAATGCAAGACTTTTAAAAGTATATAGGCAGGGAGAGCCTACTTGTGATTTTTGCAATAAATTATCTGGAATGATTATTATTTCAGATCTCTAAACCCCATTTTAAAGACTCTCTCATGTACAACCAAAATCCCCTGAGGTTCCACGTGCACCAGATACATCCAACTAGTTTTTGCGTCACTATCTCTGTGCTGCTGCTCATGCGACTAACCATCCTTTTTCCCTGGGAAACACAGGGAGCAATGCTGACCACAGCCTCAACGTCCTGAACGTGGACAACCCCAGCCCCGCCGAGGGTGGCTTTATTCCCCAAGGAAGAGCCTACAACGATGCTGGGGTAGACAGCCCAGCTGCCTCAGAAAGGTTAGTTCTCTCCAAGCCTCTGTCATTTATAATTTTTGTGATGTTTATATTAACCTGTTGTTGGTACTGTGCTTGCACACTGTGTGTGTGGTTTAGCAACAAAAAAGTCTTGTCCCCAAAGAACTTAGCTCAAAACATCAGAGGAAAAGAAGAAAAAAGTTACAGCAAAAGGCAAGATGACTTGAAATTAGTCTCTAGCTCAAGAAAATACAGTCCCAGAAGGGAATGATTAGAGATTCCAAGTACAGAAAAACTAGTTGAAAATAATTCTGTCAAAATTAGAGACCTTTCCTTCACACATTTATAACCAAGGTGCTGATGTAGCTGGTTTGGCACAATCTCTGTCCTAGATTCTTATTTGGGTTTTATGTGCTAGGATCCAGTTTGTTAATTGAATTGCATCAGTTTACCATCTTATACAGATTTTAGACTGCTGGACATTCATATACATTATTCAGCCTTGAATAATTTAAAAAAAAAAAAATTATTTCACAGCTTAGTGATATACCTTTCCCTCCATTCCAGCTCTGATCAAAGCCCTAACGTCAGTACAATTTCAGCCTTGAGTGTTGCTGGTTCCATCCTCATAATCCTTGCAGCAGCTTTTGCTGTTTTTAAATACAGGCAGCTGAAGAGATCTGGTGAGTCCCTGCCTTTTCTAGTCTCTCAAGAAATGTCAGCAATATTAAGACACAGGCAATACCTTGTCCGTGCCACAGTCTCTGCTGGGCTGAGCTGCTCCCCCAGTACCCCGCCATGCGATGGGCAGACAAGGGACCCTGCTTCTCCCCCTGACCCCATCCATACAGCTGCAACACCCAGCGTACAGGGTGCCCGGGCTGAAACAGAGACCACCCCTCCACAGGCTTTGCACGTGGCATTGCACAGTGCCTCCTTGCACAGAGGCAATTCAGATGCCAAGGCACTTGCACCGACTGAGCGAGCAGGCAGGGTATTTATCTCCTCCTTCTTAACAGACCTGGTGTCCGTCGGGAGCTACAGGACGAACATCAGCATGTCGGACTTCGAAAACGGGAAGGAGTACAGCGCAACCAATAACGCCTGCATGAAAGAAACCCAGGAGACTCAGATAGGAGGGGATGGTAGGTTGCTGACCGATGGGCTGCAAGGAAGGGGTTTGCAGAAGGACCCTACAAAAGCCACAGAAATACCTGCCCACCACCCGCCCCCACACCCTGACACCTCCCTTTCTCTCCTTGCAGAGTTTGTCACCACCACGGCCGCCCCGGAAAGCGCTGCGGAGACAAAGAAGGCAAAAAGGGTAAGAGAAGGCAGGAGAGAGCCCACCGATCTGGGAGACACCACCACAAAACTCCAGCCTCTGCCAAAGGAGCTGCCTTCTCCCAGGGGCCTTATTTACACCCAGGTGGTCTCCATCTCACCTGGATCTGGCCACCTGCTGCAGATCAGCCTCCCTGAGGGGACCTTAACCCTTTCCTGACCCCATGTTTTAGCAGAGACGATAATAGCAGTTGCCTTGCTTCAAACCAAGCCCCCAGGTAGCATCAGAAAGGTTGGGGCTGGGTGGTTACCACAAATATGAAACGCTGGGATAAGCAGATGGCCAGAAGCCGGAGCACATCCCACCTCCTAACCTTCCCCCCGCGTGGGCTGTGCTTCAGGGGACAGAGGTAGGCACGGAGGTGTCTGCCATTGCAAGGGCTGTGACTTGCTCCTGTGTCCCCGGCAAGTCCCTTGCTTCCCCTGCCTTCCCCTTGCCTTCCCCTGCCTTCCCCCTGCCTCTCCTCCCCTTGGGTAAGATCATGGTTGAGTAGCTCAGCACCAACTGAAGGTGCTGGAGGCAAGCCTTTCTTTTACAAGTCCCTAACCAAAGGTAATAGGTAGGCGTTGTAAGCACCGGGAGCTGAACCGGAGCAATAAAGGGAACTATCGGGAAACCAGTAAAACCTAGCGGCTTTAGGACAGGTGAGCTGGGTGCCAACACACAGGGACGGGCATGCCATGGGGTCCCAAACCCACCAATATTTGGGGTCTTCCCGGGGCTGAGCAAAGGCATGATGCTCTCGATCGGCACCAGCATAACCCACTGGATTGTCCCACTCACCCAGTCTGCCCGTATCATCCCGAGAAGCTCACAGCCCATGAAACGCTGCCCTTTCCCCGGCCATGGGCCGCTGTCCGTCCCCGCCTCCTAATAGCGTCCTCCTGTCCTTCCCCAGAGCTCCAAGGAGGATGCCGACCTCGCCTACTCCACCTTCCTCCTCACCTCCAACAGCATCGCGCAGGGTGACGCCAGGGGGGACAGTGCTGCCCCGGATGTGTCCCCCCCGAACTGGGAGGGCTAGATCTGAAGGTGAGGGACTGAGAGGTGGCAGCAACTGGGACCGGCTCTACCTTGAGGATCAGAGCAAGACATCAGCAAGCAGCACTGTTTATTGCTACCGCAATTTGCTATAGCTTGACCTTTTTTTGCTTAAATTCAGCTTCAAGGGGTGATTTAGGAGGAATCGTCTGATGCCAAGAGGGGTGGCTGGGCTGGAGGCGCGGGTCTGAGCGAGCAGGTCAGACTGGGAAAAGGCAGGAGCTGGAGTGGCTTAGCCCACCGACAGCCCCAGCCCCACCAGTGCCCTTCCAAAACAGTGGGCTCTCAAAGGCCAGAAGGCACATTTTGAAAAATCTCATTTTCTTTTAAAGACAGCTGGAAAACCCTCTAGAACAACATCTCGCACTTTTGATTCCTCTAAGCTTTCTCATCCAGAGGGCAGTACCTGCAGACCAGACGTGGTCTGAAGTGTTTTTATGCGCAAGCAATAAAGAATACCACTGGCTTTCAGCAGACCAGGGGGACTCGCAGTCCGTGGGAGGGCACGGGAGAGCTCACCCAAAGAAGTGCAGTAAGGGCACGTCTTAGGGGGGGCTTTCTCCTCCTTTTACTGCAGCATTATAGCATCACATCTGGTGTTACAAACGGCACAGGACGGTGGAAGAAACCCACAGTTAATGGAGACAAACAGGAAATATTTTGAGTAATGTTTCACATATGCATTTTAATCAACAGCAGGAATTGACCACAGCATGACATTAATTAGTATGACAACCTATTAGCAGCCTATATAGCTGATTAGCAATAGGCACTGGTGTTCACTGGCACTGTATCCAACTGCATAGCACAGACCAAATTCCCCAGAGCAGCTGAACCAACAGACTCCCCTTTCTGACTTGGAGTTACAATAACTAAGCCCAATCCGTGCTTCTCTGCCATGGAGCCACCCCACCAAGGGCGGCCTTGAAAACCCACCCTTTGCTTAATAAACCTGACCACACATCACTCACACATTTTCCCTGGTTGACTTCATGTTTATCCAGGCGGAAACGAGGATGACTGTAATTAAATGTTGTCTCTTGGTCTTATTTTCGAGAGTGGACAATTCAACAGAGAAAAGCAATTTATTGATACATGGATTTCCGAACGGCAGCACAACACTGTTGTCTGTCAGTGAGATGTGGGTACAGAAAGCTGAATACGCTGCAGATAAAGCAATGTAGGAAGCAGCAAAAATGAAGAGGCTGTGACAAAGCAGAGAAGCAATTTTCTCTGAACACCAGGAATGGGATGGACTGGTGCCTGCCTGGCAAAGAGAGGGGATGCAGAGGTGTCTGACAGGGCCAGAGCTCTTCAGGAGACAAGGGGCAGAAACTGCACAAATTCAAATTCCTGAGCCTGTGGTGGTTATGTGCAGCTCTGATAGCAAGCTATAAAATATAAAGAATGAAGAGCGTCACCCTGACTAGGGTCTGACCTGATGGTCTTACAGTAACACCACAAGTATATTTCTGTTTTAGTAAAATATTAGCTACACTTTAAAATGAAAACAGTGTGGTAGCTGAGCAAGGTGTCAGGCAACGGCTGTTTGTGTTAGCCTACAAACACAGAGTTTTCATCAAGGATAAAACCCAAATTATTCCTAAATCATGGACCTCCCCACAAGCAGCACTGAGATGAGCTCGGCTCACTGTGAGTACGAGGGCAGCAGCTCCAGCGGTATTTGTGTTTCCCCTCCCAGCCCTGCTTTTGTTTTTTCAGGGCTGCTTTCGCATCCACATTGCAATAGTCATCACCTTACTGATAGCAAAGCTGAGACCTCGAATGTTAGGTTATAGCTCATCTGCCTCATCTCCCGGGCTGCATCCCCTCGGCAGCGCAGTGGGAAGGGGCTTGGATATCAGAAAAGGTGTGGAGGGGCCAGGACAGGTCTGCGCCTGCCCAAAGTTGTTGTAAGTGAATGAATTATTCTGGTGCAATAGGAAAGGCGTGTGCTTGGAAAGTGTCCCCAGGGGTAAGCAGTCATAAAGCTTCAGGAGAACACTAAGGTTTGGAAATTTCTGGGAGGAGAAAACCCCTTTCACTCTCTATTTGCAAATCCGCTTCCTCTTCAGCCTGCCCGCCGGCATCCTTTTCTCAGCTCCGCTCCTCCCACACCGCGTCGGGAGCAGCGAGAATGAGCTAAACTCCCAGGAAAGGTGCAAGGGCCAAGAAACATGGGTGGGCTGAGCATCCTGCCAGCTGGCTCTGCCTGTACCCTTCAGCCCCGGCAGCTGCCTGCCCACGGCTCCTGCTGCTTCCCACCACTGACACCTTCCATCTGGCACCTCATTTCCAAAGAGGCACGTCCCTGGGCTGCTGCAGTGCTAAGTGTAAACTTAGTTTGAGATGAAAGCAATAAAACACGCATGGATTGAGGCATGCAACCCTCTGCACAGGATACAAAATCAATGAAATCTGATAAATAATAATAATTGTGACAGCATAAGCTGAGGATGTGGAATAAAACCCACAATTCTCACTCAAGCTGCGATCCAGAGCCCACCACGATCAATGGAAAGGTCCACAGGGACCTCACCAAGCAGCCCCATCTCCTTCACCAGACTGCCAAACATTTGGTCAGTGATGAGCTGTGGTATCTCATTGCATCACCACTTCATTCCTAATGGTTTGTCTTTAACAGAAAATCACAGTATGTGCAAGATACGTCATTCTTCAATGGTTGATTTCAAAGGTGATGGTGTTGAAAGATCCGCTTTTGTGATGCTGACAGCACGTGAAGGGGTGTATTCACCCGTTCATGCCCTGGCACCAGGACAAATGAAAGTCACACAGAAAAACCCGTGAGAAAGCAAATTAAGAGAAATCAAAGCCCTGAGAGGCTTTCCTTTGGCATACGCAAATGTTTGAGGAAGGATAGTCAGCAATCAAGGAAATCTTTCTTTTAAAAGTGAATCACCAAATCCTGCTCAGTGTGAAGCACATGCAGATGCGCCATAGGCAAATCCTGGTGAGCTCACCCAGCCAGGTCACCAAACGGGCCTTTTTGGGAAGAGACAAGGAGTCTCCTCCTCCTCTGCAGCTCCTCATTGTGCTGGTGCCCGATGAAAGGCACAGCACCCACCGGACTGACGCAAGGCTCCGGTGATGCCAGTGTGCTGCCGGAGGTCTTGACCAGGGTCCTCCTGTGATGGGGATGTAACCAAAGCAGTAACTGAGTTCTCCTTGAGGACATGAGGACCTTATTCCATAATAACAAAATCCTGTCAAAGAGCCTCTTCTGCAGCTAACGCCTTCCGTGTGTCATCTCTGTAGCATCATTAGAAATTGCCCAAGGTGGGAACAGCCAGCCCTCCGTCCATCCCAGCTGCTGAAGCTTGGCCATGTCCGCGGGCAGGAAAGGGAGAGCTGGAGAGTGTTGGGCTGTCCCATGGGAATCGGAGGCACTGAGAAGAGGTTTGTGCAAGCCCAAACGGTTCAGACCTAGAAGCAAAGTCTTGACCCTAACAGCAATAAGAGCCGCTCAGAGCCAGGGGAGAGCACGCAGCACCCTGGCTGTGCTCCTGCCGCCACAGCTGGCAGCAGTTTTGGTACACCTTGCTCAGCTTAGCTGATTCCTAGAGCAAAATGCACCAAGTCAGAGGTCTACCCTCTAGTCTTACTCAAGCCTTATGGCTAATGAATGCAACAGTAGGACTTTATCACTTGAAATATTAGGACTAGAGTGCTGCCAGGGACATAAACATCCGACTGCTCTGGCTTGTGTTAATAAGCAGCATTTACCTGGGCCCTGACGCCAGGAGTGCATAACACCTCCTGGCTGCAGGGAGAGATGACTTGGGTGGTCTGGGTTCATGTACTAACACATTAGGCCTCTGCCACTGTCAGATACTACAGCAATACACGTATTAACACCTTGTGGGAAAACACAGTGGAAAAAGGGGTTTAGAGCATGCAGAACCAGTGGGTACCAGCAATATGTGTGCAGTCACTGGTGGCTAAAAGAGCCCCAAATGGGTGAAAACAGACCAGAGCTATATACATAATGCGCATTAAAAATGGTCTCAGGGACAAGCTGGGCTGATTTAGTATCACTCAGGTCTAAACTTTGGTCTCTCTGGCACGCCAGGAACGATGCATTACTTCTGGGATACTAGGAGTGACAGTATCTGCTATGGAAGGGCACCACGGTGAATTCAGAAAGTTTTGCCAACAAGAAACATATAATTCCTCAGAATTTTGACAGACTCAGAGCAGTTTCAAGTAGGGTTTATTTACAGTAATTGCAACAGATTTCCACAAAACTTACTACCAAGTGTCAGTAAATTACACAATACATACAAGAACCTTTTTCTATTCAGCAACCACATATCTTGCATAGAAAGTTTTCTTTTACTGATAAGGCAGAAAATACAATCTCAAAAGGAAACACAGATTTCTAAGGCCTGACATACCCACTAGAACCTATTCCTAGAAGCTTTTGTCACACTGTGCACCTCATTTTAGCCAGATCAATCAGCAGGAGCAGTCACATAAGACTGAGCCCAGATTTAGGAGCGCTGCTCTGCAGCATTAACTACACCAGAGTCGTTCCAGTGGGCACTCAGAACCTATGAATGTACATTCCCTATACAAAAATTTTATAATTTAAACAATACTTTTATTAAATGATCACAGCTTATGTCTGCTAGCAAGAGAAACCCTTTTAGATTTTCCCTTGCAGAGCATCCTTTGATAGAAGTCAGCTAAGCGAGTGCTATGCTGATTTGATCAAACTCCATATTTCCATGCAAGACTCTGCTGATGCATTCGCTGATGTACCTGGCTAACAAAACACTCAGCATTTGACTGAATGCATCCACAATCAGTGAGAAACTGCACTGATACAGCACATTATTTTCCCATTCACCGCAGGTATGTGCAATGTACCAGCAGCTTCATTAGCTCCAGCCGTTGGTGGGTCATTAATGCCTTCTGCTCTCTAATGAGATTTCTCCATCCAGTCTAGTAGGATGTCCAGCT